CCCCAAAACCCCAAAACCCCAAAACCCCAAAACCCCTATTTATTGACGCATTATTGATATATAACAAATTATTAAAACAGATAGAATTCAAATGGTAGTCTCACTTTACATCTGCGATATACCCCAGGACATCGAGAGAGATGAACTAGAAAATATCTTCAATGATTTCGGAGGCTTTAAAGAACTCCGAATTGCCAGAGATAAAACAAAGTAAGTTTTGAATGAATTAGTTAGAAATTTTAAAGCAAAAGATCCTAAACAAAGTCTTCTGCAAGGCTGGATTTCAGTATTCAAAGAGGCTCAGAAGTCTATTCTGGGACTCTATCGTTACTGCCAAACTCTAGCTACTGGATCTTTTACATGTGTGCCTAAGAGTACTATTTTTGACAGAATTTTAGTTCTAGGAGATTTTGAAGTTAACCTAATTTTTATAGACAGAAAATTGCTTTTGCAGACTACAAAACGGAAGAGGATGCCAGGACAGCAAAAGAATACCTTAGTGGCTATGTCTTTCCAAATAGTAACAAAGGTATGAGCATCAGGATCTCTGAAAACTCTAAGAGGAAAGGAGGCCCGACCACTAGCAGCCAAGGCCAGTACCAGAGAGGTGAAAATGTGAAGAAAGAAAGTGAAACTTTTGAGTCTGTTCAGACCAGTAAACCTAAGAAGAAGAAATCTAAACCTATTGAAGAGAATTTTGATGAGAGAAGAGACAAGGACGCTTATTTTCAGGACAGGAATCATAGAGATAGAAGAGATCTTAGAGACAAAAGGGACAGCAGAGATGTCAGAGATCAAAGAGACACTAGGGATTCAAGGGATCATAGAGAATATGTAGACCAAAGAGATCTTAGAGACCAAAGAGATTTCAGAGACCAAAGAGATTTTAGAGACCAAAGAGATCAGAGAGACTACAGAGATCAAAGAGAGTACAAAGAGCAGAAAGAATTTAGAGATCAGAGAGAACAAAGAAGTCAAATGGACTTTAGAGACAGAAGAGATATGAGAGACTATCAGGATGATCTTAGTGATACAAGGGTTAAACAAGATCCTTACGTTGGTTATTCTCATAATCAAGGAAGAATATCAAAGTTTAATGACAACCATTTAAGAATTATGGGCCATTCTCATCAGGAAATTGGAAGTAATTCTCTTCCGCAACAGCCATTTATTCATGATCCTTTAGTCAATAATAGAGGCAATAGTAAAATGAAGAATATATCTATGAGTCATGCTCAAGACCCACAGTCTTATGAGCACTTAAATAATAGTCTAGATATTCCCCAGTCTTATAACAGAGATAGTTATCTTATTAATGATGTCATGCATAACTCTTCCATGTCTGATTTGACACCTATACCTTGATCTTCAAAGGGAGTAAATATTTCTCATCTAGATCAGTATGTGCTACCTCAAAGCGCTCAGAATCAACTTGATTCATCTTCAATGAATACTAACCCTAACTATATGTCTTCTGTTGGAGGAGGTGGTCAGTCTATTCCAATGAAAAATACTATGGTGGCTCAAAATTCTAGTATTCTGGAAAGAGTCCCTGCTCAATACTCCTCAATGGCTCAGTCTTCAGTCTCCCCTGGCTGGAATAGACCCAACCCAGCTGCTTATAACGTCCAGTCTAGCAAGAGTAATTTTGATGCTCTTGTTGAGATGTGTGAACAATTTCATAATATTTTGCCTATCCCGAAGAACGCTACCAATACAGTCTATATTGAAGGGATTCCTTTAGGAACCAAAGAACGAGAAGTAGCTCGTAAGTTTATTTCTTTCATTCTATATAGATATTTTCCGTCCATTCCCTGGCTTTAGATCAATTAGACTTATTAATCGTGACAAAAAGAATGGAGATAAGGTGATTTACTGTTTTGCGGATTTTGAAAATACTCTTCAAACAACAATGGTCATCAACACTCTTCAGGTAAGGACTTTTATTTAATCTCTAGGGCTATCGGTTTGACAAAAATGACGACTCAGGGTTGCACTTTTCATACTCCAAGGTGAACAACAAGTTACATAAGGACCATCATCATAGGTCCAAGATCGACAGAGTGCATTAATTCTCCAAAATTTATCAACACCTCTGATTTTAAAGGGGTTTTGGGGTTTTGGGGTTTTGGGGTTTTGGGG